TTCGCCCCTTAAGCTTGTTAGCAAAATCTTTTGCCAAACAGCCTTTGCATACTTACAATCTCGAAGCCGATGTAAAATTGTTTCATAGGAATGCAGATAAGAAGCGCTAAAGGAATTCGCAGTGATTTTATGTTGGAACCTTTTGTAATTAGTAAGTAGGCACTGGTGAGAAACCAGCCACAAGAAGCTTCTAATCTTCTGCGAGCCATCCCATTTCCACAATGAACTCTAGAGTTTATCTGTAGGCAAATGATTTCTTGGTGAAATCAATTCATAAGCTTTTTTAATAGTGAATGAACCACTGCTATTGCTACCCCAAACCAGCAACTCATCATCATCACTGCCTGAAGGTGGGAGCATGGATTGAATTCGCATAAAAAATAGACTTATTTAAAATCATGACGCATAACTATTTTTTTGTGTGTAAATAACTAGTCTCATGTAATCTAACTACCTTGTAAAATGAAAAAAAGGAATTATTACTTTCCTAAAAGGAAAAATAGACTATATTGTCAATCGCTAGGGCTTTTCCGACACTGATTGTGCTCACTATTTCATCATAATTTCGAATTCATTCGAGGGAGTGGGATGGAACTTAAATAGCATGTGGTGACGGTGTTCATGGCGGATTTCGGGTTTTTCAATTGAAAAGAGAGAGAAGATAAATGGGAAAATGTAAGAAAAGTGGGCACAAATTATGGGAAGTTAGGAACTTGGTTAACAATGCCGTGGATTGAACCAACTTCAGAAGCATAAGAAAGTCGTCGCTTCCATCGGCGTTGATGGTATTTTGGCCAATTTAACAGTTACACAGCATAAGAACATTCTGCAATGTTACACATAAGTAAAGTAATTTAAGAAATTTAGGAACGAATTAGACAATTTTTAAATATCAACAATTTTTTTCCTTATTTTTTTCACTTTATGTCTTACCATTCACTTTTCTTTTTAGCATTTGCTCCCTCCTTCTTCTTTCCCGAGCAGGTTGTTGTTTGTCACAAAGGTGTAATTTCAGTCTGTGCTCAATTTTGACCTCCAATAAAATAAAATAAAATAAATATTGGGATAAGGACACCACAAGGGTCATAATTTTCGTACGGCGCTCACCTGAGTGTCATAACTTTTTTTTCGACCACCTGAGTGCCATAACTTTTAAAAAAACGTTCATTTGAGTGTCATAACTTTAAATTGATTACTTAAGTGCCAACAATTTTTAAAAACATTCACCCCAAGTGCTTGAAATCCAACATGGCATATCATTTATGGTGAACGTTTTTAAAGAGTTATGGCACTTAGGTGATCTATTGAAAAGTTATATGACACTTGAATGATTGGAAAAAAGTAATGGCACTCAAGTAATCGTTATACATAAATTATGACACTTAAATGATCGAAAAAAAGTTATGACATTCAAGTGAACGCCGTACGAAAGTTATGACATTTGTGGTGTCTTTTTCCCAATAAATATTACTTTTGTAGTGCTTCGTTGTCTATAAGACCCTATAAGGCAAACTTTGAAGTTGGTTTCCACCACCAAAATGTTCAATGTCACCACATTAATTTAATGCTCAACAATAGACCGTTCAATGTCACCACATTTTCGACCAAAAAAAAATGTCACCACATTAATTTAATACTCAACAATAGAGCGTACGATTTCTTCTCTTATTCTGCATATCATGTGTCATTGCTCACTTCCTCCACTTCCGTAGATAGCCACCCATTTCACCTCTGGATCTTCTCGATTGCAAATGTTCTATAACATCCACTTCCTTCACTTCACCAGATGACAATCCATTTCAGCCACTGAATATATCATAAAAAACTCAAAGTGGTAGACCCGTGCCACACTACCCCAAGTTAATTTTTATGTCCCAAAAACTCCCAAACCAGTAGGCCCATGCTATATTTACACAAAATTAAATTTTATGTTATAAAAAATCCCAAACTGATAGATCTATGACACATTTACCCCCGAAAAAATCCCTAATTTACCATAATATGGGGTAAGTATGGCATGAGTATACCGGTTTAGGATATATGTAGCACGAGCTACTAGTTTGGGATTTTTCATGACAAAAAATTTGTTTGGGGTAAATATGGCACAATATACCAGTATGCGAGTTTTTGTGACACAAAAATTAATTTGAAGTAGTATTGATGTACCGTTTAGGGTTTTTGGTGATATTAGCCCTAAATAAAAACCCAAATTTTCACGCAGGTGTAGCCCATGCGAAAATACTAGTTGAATTAAGACAAATATGTAAATCAACTCCCCACATTCACGCATTCTTTTGATTTTACGCTTGCAAACGTAGGACCGTTTTGGACGTAGTGGGCCTGGGTGGTCCTTTTGTGATTATCAAAACCCAATTAGGGCAAATGCTTCGCTCGACTTAACTGTTGAGTTGTATTCTCCCTATTCTTCTTCCCATTTTTTTTGGCCCAATTCCCTAAAAAACCCCAAACTTTAGCCTTTGTCCCAATTATATCCCAAAATTTTTTTTGTCTTATAAAAAACCCCAAACTTTTACTTTTGTCCCAAATCTACCCCGTTTACTATTCATCCAATTTTTTAATATTATTTTTTTGAATTTTTTTCTTTTTTCTTTTCTTTTCTTTTCTTTTTTCACCCTCAACCTCCGGCCGGTCGCCGATCCGGCGACATTCAGAAAGCGAGAGCTGCGAGGTCGGCCCCGCCGCACGGTGGCGAGGTCGGCCTCGCGCGTTCTTTGGGCGAGGCCGACCTCGCCGGCAGCCGGCGGGGCCGAGCCTCGCCCAGATCTGGCGAGGCTCGGCCTCGCCGTTCTTCGGGCGAGGTCGGCCTCGCCGTTCCGGGCGAGGCCGAGCCTCGCCGGCAGCCGACGAGGTCGGCCTCGCCGTTGCCGGGCGAGGACGAGCCTCGCCGTAGCCCGGCGAGCTCGGCCTCGCCGTTCTTGGGCGAGGTCGAGCCTCGCCGGCGGCCGACGATCTCGGCCTCGCCCAGCAACGGCGAGGCCGCGCCTCGCCAGAGTCGGCAAGGCTCGGCCACGCCCAGCAACGGCGGGGCCGACCTCGCCGGCCGGAGGTTGAAGGTGAAATAAAAAAGAAAAGAAAAGAAAAGAAAAAAGAAAAAAATTCGAAAAAATAATATTAAAAAATTGGATGAATAGTAAACGGGGTAGATTTGGGACAAAAGTAAAAGTTTAGGGTTTTTTATGAGACAAAAAAAGTTTGGGATATAATTGGGACAAAGGTTAAAGTTTGGGGTTTTTTATGGAATTGGGCCCATTTTTTTTTCCAACTCTTTTTCTCCACTTTCTATTTGTTATTGCTTTTCCTTTCTTCTTCTCCATTTTCTTCTCCAAATCTCTCCCTCTAATAAAACGATACAACTATGCCATCGATTTTTCTTACACTTGCATAGCATGAAGTAAAGGCACAAAAGGACATTCATACATCGACATCGTGAAAAAAACATACACAACCATCTTTATTCATCCAACGGGGAGCTTAGCAATATCATCTCAACCATAATCAAATGTCTAACCATTAAGAACCTTTGTGGCATAGGTTTTGCCAGCCGTGAAGGTTTTAGGGATTCCATTTTTCACATTCCGAGTTGCGGAAGCACGGACCATCAGGCTTAACATTCCAAATACAGAAGCCACATCGTTCAACATCTCTCTCCTCAACATATATATCGAAATGATGAAATGCGCCGGGCCATTGAAAGCTCCAAAAGAACAGCGTGTTGCCAAAAAAGCTAGATTTGAATGAAGATTCCCACATGAAACCACCATGGATCTGATGAAAGCCGAGATCGTCATCTTTAGATTGAACCGTAAGCAGAGGTGCTCCTGGTAAACTATTGACGTTTGCGACTGTTAGTCTTCCCAAAAGCTTCGGAGCTAGCTTGTAGGAAGACAAGAATGATCACGAACACTATGAACAGTTAAATTGATGGGTACATGTTCGTAAATTTTATGTTTTTGTTTTGGAATATGAATACAGTGAAGCATGGTGGAGCGAACTATTTAAGGAGGATTAAGATGCTTCATTTATAAGGCAGAAGAAAGAAACATGCGCGAGGACTGGATACCTATTCAAGCATTAAGATGACAAATATGAAGGCCCAAGTTTGTCATTAGTGTGGGAAAATGTAGTAATTCATTTATAAAAATATCTATATTTGTATAATTTTTCCCTGACAGTTGTACTGGTAGTAATTTATTTATTAAATACCTAAAGAAGCTATTTATTTGGCATCCCTATATAAAGAATCTTGATGTGATGCCAGCTATACCGATTGCTTGCTATGGAAAATTCATTTAGGACTCCAACTATACATTTTTTTTAGTGAGTTTGAGAAGGGGATTAATGACAAATGTTGGAGAAGGAAGAAAGGAGGGTTCACACAAGCGTGAAATTGATGAACTATTGTTGGAGATGGGGTTTACAAATTGATTTAATTATTTGGATTATTCAAGACCAGAGATTATTTGGTTTGTAATAACATTTTGTTGTGCAGAGGTTACAACTTTCACTACAAAAAAAGTAAGTTTTAGCGACGAAAAAAAATTCGTCGCTAATAAGGCGTCATAAAATTTTGCGACGAAAAAAAATTCGTCGCAAAATTCGTCGCTAATTATTCGTGACAAAATTTGTCGCTAATTATTCGTGGCAAAATTCGTCGCTAATTTGCGACGAACATTTTTTTTATTGGTCGGTACTTTGCAACGAACTTATTTGTGGCAAAATTCATCGCTAATTTAGCGACGGAAAATTTTAACTTTTGCGACGAACCTTGTTCCGAAACGAATTTACAACGAATTTTTATTAATTCTTTAGCGACTAACTCTGCGACGAATATTGTTTAGAGACGAAATTAGCAACGAAATTTTATTTTTGCAACGAACTTTTATAATTTGTGACCGTATGATAAAATCATTTCTTTTATTTTTCGATTTTAAATCTAATTAACAGCAAAATTAATTTCTAGAATTTATATTTAACATTGATTAAGCACTTAATAACATCAAAATATTATAATAATATGAAAATGAATACATTCATCAACATTTTCCACAAGAATGGCTCTTTGCGCCTAGTTTATCCAACATCAGAAATCTCTACATAGCTCTGGTCTGCTCTAATTCAACGCTATGAACTTGCCCAAAATTGGAAAGTACAGAAAGAAAGAGAAGTCAAAGGAGTATGCCAGGATGAGATCAAAAAGTCAAATGGACAATCCTCACAGAAACCTCGGTGGCATCAAGATCGCGTCACTCATTCCATGTCACCACCCGTCCCCTCAAAGGCCTCATACTCGTAATCCTCGTCAAAACCTCGGTTTTGATCTCCCTTGCAACCTTCCTCTGCACCTTGTCGCTGATGCGAGTCTACAAAAAAAAGGGTTTGTGCTTTTGGTAGATTGTTTTCATTGTGGGCGAGAGCAGTAGGGCAAAGATATAACTAGACACAAACCTTACCTGGCCTAAATTATGCTTCTCTGTCTCTGAAAGCTCAACCAGATCTTCCGTAGCAAGTTGTTCCACCTTCGAATGGCATAGAGGCATAGAAAAACATATATCCTAATTAAAACAGACAAAACCGAAAGGTCAGGCATTATTCCAGAAAAAAGGAAGTTCAAGAAAAGGGACTAATTTGGTCAATGTGACAACTGCAACTAATTGAGCCATACCCTTCGCAATGATAGCTTGACCAATATGATAGATAAGACCTCCAACAATAGAAATTCTTTCTTTTCTTTATCGGAAATAAAAGGTCATCAGACGGAAACTAAATCAATGCCAACAAGTACAGATCATGATCATGTCCAAATGGGCAATAAATGTAATCTTATACTGATCTCAGGATCACTTATACAACTTGGCTAATGAGCAACTTGCAATCGAGCCAGATATTTCGATAACAAGATATGTATGCATCAGCAATATCTTTATTGAATGCTAACAACAGGACAATGATGCCTCACGGGAATAAACTTCTGTTGAATAAAATAGGCTAAACAAAATAGTCTTGACAAATCCCATATATGGTTCCTGCTAGCTGAGCAAGCCCTGAAGGTGATCCCAAACTAGAGATTCAATCAAGTGACAGTACTTAGGAAATTTTGACAGAACGGAATAAGCACTATTAACAAGTAAAAGGAGCATGCAGCAACAGAAGCTAACACCAATTGCTGTGACTTACATGCTCTAAACAATGACCGCAGACCTCTTGTCGACCGGGACACGTAAGCACTGCAAGTCCTTTTGCTTCTTCCAGAGTCACCATCAGCAGTAAACATTACCACAAATTGAGAAGTGCACACTAATTCCCATGAATAAAATAGCATATTAGGGCAATAAATCAACAGACAGGATGATTATATAATGACCAGAAAGAACTAATTGATATAGTTCTTGGCGATAAATGGCCTTCTAACAAAGTCCTGTTATTCACATGGCATAATTACTGCTTTACCTTTAGAATTGACTCTTTATTAAGTCATGAGAGATCCATTGTGTAAGATATTCAGCAGCATCGAGAGTCATGGATACTCTAGACGTTGCAGAAAGTTATAGGCACCGTAAGGGCACAAATACCTCTTCCAATTTTTAAATATTTGAAATGTTATTATTAATACAAAACATGCTCTTCATGAGTACCAGCAAATTAATAAATACTAGCTTGCGTTTGTCATCACAAAGCGCTCTTTCAGATGCCATTGATTTGGCCTACATTAAGCCTATAAATTTTCGGGTAATTAGCTGTACAACTTCCTAAACTCGAGATACTTACATATACAGAAGCCATTAGCCCAAGATTGGTTCATGGTACTCTATCTCTATGATTTCATCCAATAAGCCATAAAAATCATCTTTTGAACTGCCATCATTGGATGACTGAACACACACACCACTTTTATTGTGGCTTTTCCCATTCCATATTCTTGAGTGGGAAAATTATACCCGTTTATGAAATATGCTGGCCAACTTCGTACTCTTGACTTTGGACCCCATAACAGATGATATAGCAATCCTTGCTCTTCAACTTGATCATGATTACTGTGAACCTAAGGTCACACACGCAAAGTCAATAATATATATTTTAATAAATGATGTATAAAATATTAATAACTTGGTTTTGGTCCATAGGCAACTTACATATGTTTTGAACCATGCTGCAAATTATTCATCGCACAAATGGTCAAACTCATTTGGTGGTAGTCCATACTTTGAAGTTTGAAAAATCCTATTAACAAATACCATTTAAAATACCATTTATATATTAGAAAATGTTTGACACACAATACATATATTTGCAAATGTACACTTACTCAAAGTATGGCTCAGGTCGAGCGGCCTCGCCCATGGCCGGCGAAGTCAAACCGGTCGCCAGAAGTTAGGAAAAAAAAAGAAACAGAAAAAAGTCAATAAAATAAAAAAAAATTGAATCCAGCGATGAATAGTTTTGCAACGAAGAGTCACGAAATTAGCCACGACACTTACCGGCGGAAAAGCTTTACCGAGATTGATTTGCGCGCGTGCGGAGAAGTTTATCGAGAAAAACGAAAAAGTGAGAGGGATGGAGAACAGCGAAGGGCGATATGAGGAATCAACAGAGAGAGAGAGAGAGAAATTGGGGATGGGGGTCCGTCACAAATTACATCGCAAATTAGCGACGAATTCGTTTTCGTCACAAATTAGTAACGGATTATTTTCCGTTACAAATTAGCGACGAATTTATTTTTTGTCGCAAATTCCGTTGCAAATTAGCAACGACTTTTTTTTTCCATCACAAATTAGCGACGAATTTTTTCCGTTGCAAAAAATATTCATCGCTAATTCCGTCGCAAATTAGCCACGGAAAATTTTTTGTGGTAAATTCCGTGGCAAAGTAGCCACGGGAAATTTCTTGTGGCAAATTCCGTCGCAAATTAGCCACGGAGAAGTTTTCGTCGCAAATTCCATCGTAAAGTAGCCACGGAAAATTTTTCGTGGCAAATTCCGTCGCTAATTTGGGACGGAAAAATTTTCGTCGCAAAGTAGCCACGGAAAATTGTTCGTGGAAAATTCCGTCGCAAATTAGCCACGGAAAATTTTTCGTCACAAATTCCGTCGTAAATTAGCGACGAATATTTTTTCGTCGCAAATTAGCGACGGATATTTTTTCGTCGCAAATTAGCGACAAGTTTTTTTTCCGTCGCAAATTAGCGACGAAAGATTTTTCATCACAAATTAGCGACGAGTTTTTTTTCCGTCGCAAATTAGCGACGAAAGATTTTTCGTCGCTAATTAGCGATGAATTTAGTTTTCGTCGCAAATTCTGTCGCAAATTAGTAACGAATAGTTTTTCGTCGCAAATTTTCCGTGGCTAAATCCTTGTTTTTTTGTAGTGTTTTTAGGATTATATGGGCTTCTAATCTTTTTTAACTTGTAGAAAAAATAAAGAGATTGCAATTTTAGAGTTGAAAGAGATAGATTAAGTAGTTTTAATATCTCAGTTGTATTTATATTTCCTACCATATCTTAGGCTGTGTTCGTTTGGCGGAAAATGTTTTCCTGGAAAACATTTTCCGGGTTTTCCGGTGTTCGGGGGCAGAAAACATTTTCCCCTCAATGAGGGAAAACATGACCAAATTGGCGGAAAATGATTTCCGCTTCTGAAAAGCGGAAATCATTTTCCGCCAAACTCCTCCTTCCCCCCTCCGGTTACCGCAGCCTGCCCCCGGTCGTCGGCGCCGCCCGCTGCCGCCGCCGCTGCCGGTCGGCTGGCCGCCGCCGCCACTCGCCCGCCGCCGCCGCCGGTCGCCGGTCGCCGCCCGGTCGCCAAACACCATAAAATATTTTTCGAAACTTTTTCAGATTTTAGCCGAACACCAGAAAATTGTGTTTCGGAAAAATATTTTTCAGGAAAATGACTTCCAGGAAAATATTTTTCAAAAGGAGAATATTTTCCGCCAAACGAACGGAGCCTTAGGTTAAACTTAATTCTACAACATTACAAAAAGCAATTCAAAATTGGTTGTTCAAACTTATATGTTAAATGCATTAAGAGTTTACTAAGAATTATATGTAAGGTGGTAATTTATATGTAATTTGTTTTATCAGCAAGACTAATTTGTATACAAAAAAAGAAAGAAAGAAAGAAAATACAAATTGGGCAAGATCACAAGAAGTAAAGTTTATTTTTTCTTATTTTATTCCTTAATGTATAGTAATTTAGGAAGGCAAAGTTCAAATAAGTGGGACATAGGTCAAAGCGAACTTATTAGAGGGAGAAGCCCGATCGATGATGAAAGGGAGTTGTTAGAGGATGAATCCCATTAGCATGATGGCTCCTCATTTTTAGGTATGAAAATTGACGAAGCAATTGTGACCACTTCATACATTTTTTACTATAGTAGTTTTCTTCTCATCCGTTTCTACTAATTTACGTACCAAAAAATAACTATGACCATTGAACTACATATTTGTCTAATAGTTCGATCAATACATATATTTTCAGGATAGGAATCTGCGGAAAATAAAAATCTACAAACTTATAAAAAATAGACTTATTTAAAACCATCAATGCACTATTGGTGTAGATTTTTCTCTACATAAGCAATTTTAAAATCATGACACATAACTATGTAAATAACTAGTCCTACGTAATCTAAAGACTACTTTGTAAAATGAAAAAAAAAGGAATTATTACTTTCGTAAAAGGAAATATAGACTATATTGTCGATTGTTAGGGCTTTTCCGAGGTTGATAATGCTCAACATTTCATCGTGATTTTGAGTTCATGGACAAGATAGGGAATACAAAGGGGAACGAAAGAAAACTGGGCATAGATTATTTGAAATTAAGAACTTGATCAACAATGCCGTGGGTTGAACCAACTTGAGAAGCAGAACAAAGTCATTGCTTCCTCTGCCGTTGGCAGTTGACATTAGCTTTGAGCTCCGTCACGGTTGACAATGGAGTTAAAGTGTGATTTGGTCTCGCGTCATCTTCTTCTTCGCCTTGCTTAGATACTGTAGATACAAGTAACTATTGTGAGTCTTATGAAACTGATGGGGTCTTAAACAAAATTAATCTATTGCGAAACATTTAAATTATTAGATAATGCAAAGAAATCGATTGCATAAACATAAATCCAAAAAAAAAAATGTGTGGAATAAGAAAAGAAAAGCCTTTCAAGATTTGAACTTAATTATATTTCGTTTACTCAGCCTCTCTCTGCAAGATGGATAATAAATTTTTTTTGACAATAATCACGTCACTTTATAAGTTAGTGGCGTTTTGCCCGACTTTTGACTTTTCGACCCTGAACACATAACTTATTCATGCATGATATTATAATATCTTCAAAATAATGAAATAGTAATGTATAGGATTGCGATCTTCTTTGTGGGTAAGTAAGCATCTATAACTTATCTTTTTGAGAGGATGGCAAATTATTTCTACATCTCATTGGCCAAAATTCATGTTGATCAGGCAGGTCGTACCGCAGCAAGCTATTTACTTATGATGAAGAGAAGTGCATATCAAAAAATTAGGTTTGAACTATTTTTTTCTTCTTTTTTCCTTTATATATTGTTATTATCAAATAAAAATTTATTTTCATTTTTTTTGTTTATCGTTATAGTGAATGAGTAAGCTACGAAGGACTTGATAACTCCTTCAATGCTGGACAAACATTCGGTCGGTATGATTAATTGCACATACTCTTGGTATGTGTTAAGCTGTGCTTTGTCAACTATATTACCTCTTATGAACAAAAAAAAAAAAACTAGATTACCTCATAAAGTCAAATTTTGAAGTTCCACCACCGAAACGTTCAATTTAAACCCAGTAATCTATTACTTGACCGTAAAGTGAACGGCTTCTTTTTCGAGTCTGCATCATTTGTAATTGCCCACTCTTTCACTTCAGTAGATTGCTAGCCATTTCAGCCTGCCGATAGCCACAAACAGTTTCTCCTCGAATGCAAATAGTTTATAACGCCCGCTTTTTCACTTTACTAGATAACCATCCATTTCAATATATGGATAACCACCCAATGTTTCACACACGTTGGCATGTGCCAAACTACTAGTTAAATTTTAAAACAAACTTTTAATTAATTTAACACGGTCACATGTTTTTTTTGCTTTTGTCCTTAGAAACTGTGGACCGTTTTGGACGTAGTAGGCCTCGCTTAAGGGTAATCGGTTCCTAAGTTGATTGGTTTTGAACCTAGAATTGGGAATCGACCTTTTGACTCCCGGTTCCAAAAGATTGGAATCCATAAACAAACGGATTGGTTTTGGAATCGGTGGCTTCCCAGGGGAGAGAGGCTTGCTTTGCTTCACATTTGTTATTCGCGACCACTCTCTTCTGTTATTTGTAAACTCCTTTTCTCCACTTTGGATTTGCTATTTCTTTTCTTTCTTCTTCTCCATCTTCTTCACCAAATGTCTCCTCATAAAATAAAAAAAATTTGCGATCCATTTTTATAACACTTGTGTATGCAAGTGAAGGTACAAAAGCACATATTCACACATTGACACCATTAATAAAAATACACAACCATCTTTATTTCATCCAAACGGTAGATTTTAGGTGTTCCATTTTGCACATAATGTGTTGTATAAACACGGGCCAGTAGGTACTATATGCCAATAACAAAAGCGGCATCGATTATAATCTCTGTCACTGTCATATATATCAAAATAGTGAAATGCACCGGGCCATTGAAAGCTGCAGAAGTATAGCGTGGTGCCCCAAAAGTTGGGTTTGAATGAAAATCCCCAATGCAAACCAGCAGGGATCTGGTGAGAGCCGAGATCTTTGTCTCCAGATTTACAATGAACAGTAAGCAGCGGTGCTCCCGGTAAATTATTGATGATTTGGACTTCGGATGTCCGCTCAGCGGAGCTGGCTTGTAGGAAGGTAAGAATCATTACCCATACTACTAAAAGTTTCATTGACGAGTCCATTCTCGCAACCATTGTGTTTTTGTTTTGGAATATGAATGCAGCGGAGCACGGTGGAGCGACCCATTTAAGGAGGATTAAGATGCTTCGTATGGTAAGAAAGAAGAAAGAGACGTGTGAGGACTGGATACCTATTCAAGCATTAGGATGACAAAAATAAAGGCCACTTACATATATATGGGAAAATGTGGCAATTGATTTATTAAAATATCTATATTTGCTATTTTTTTCTCGACATCTGTATTTGTATCCATATGTATGTAAGTCCACATTAATACATGCAAAGAAGCTTTTTAATTGGCATTTTCATTTTAAAGAATCTTTCTGTGATATTAACTGTACCGACTGCTTGCTATGGAAAATTCGTGAAGACTGAGGACTGGATACCTATTCAAGCATTAGGATGACAAATATAAAGACCACTTACATATATAGTGTGGGAAAATGTGATAATTTATTTATTAAAATATCTATATTTGTTATTTTTTTCTTGACATCTATATTTGTATCCATATCTACGTAAGTCCACACTAATATATTGAAAGAAACTTTTTAATTGGCATTTTCATCTTAAGAATCTTGTTGTGATATTAGCTATACCGATTGCTTACTATGGAAAATTCATGTAGAACTCCAACTATACATTCGTTTTTGGTAATTTGAATGTGGGATTGGTCTACAGATGTTGCAAAAGGAAGAAACGTGGATTTATAGGGGCTTAAGATTAATGAACTATTGTTGGAGATGCGATTTACAAATTGATTTAATTACTTGGATTATTCAAAGACCAGAGATGATTTGGCTTTGTAATAACATGTTGTTGTGCAAACGTTAGAAGTTTTTTGAATTATATGGCATTTCTAATCTTTTTTTACTTGTGGAGAAAATAAAGAGATTGCAATTTTAGAGTTGAAAGAGATAGATTAAGTAGTTTTAATTTCTCGGTTGTAGTTTACTAAGAAATTATACCTAAGGTGGTCATCTATGTGTAATCGTGGAGTATCCTTACCAATTCGGAAACAAGAAAGAAAGAAAGAAAGAAAGAAAGAAAGAAAGAAAGAAAATATAAATTATGAAAGATTATCTTATTTTATTTCTTGATATCAAGTAAGTTAGGAAGGCAAATTACAGATAAGTGGGACATAGGTCAAAGTGAATTCATTGGAGGAGAAGCCCAATAGATGAAAGGGAGTCGTTAAAGGATGAATCTCGCTAACATGGCCGCTCCATCATTTTTAGGAGCGAAAAATGATGGATCAATTATGGCCACTTCATACGTAATTACATTGGAACAAACTTTCAATTAATGCAACACATTCACACATTCTTTTGCTTTTTTGCTAAAAAACCTTGGACCTTTATGGACGTGGCGGGCCTGGATTAGGGGCGATTGGTTTCTCAAAAGATTGGTTCCCGGTGTAGAATCGAGAATCAACTTTGTGACTCTCAGTACCAAAAGATTGGAACTGGAAACAAAGCTTGTCGGTTCTGAAATCGATTGCCTGCTGGGGGAGAGACGCTTGCTTTGCTTTGCATTTTGTTTTTGTGTCCTCTTTCTTCTTCTTTTTTTTTTTGTCAACTCTTTTTCTCCACTTTTTATTTTCTATTACTTTCTTCTTCTCCAAATCTCTCCCCCTCATAAAAAAAAGAATTATGTGATCAATTTTTACTACGCTTGGATTTGCAAGTGAAGGCACAAAAGGACATCTTCACGATCGACACCACAAAAAAAAAAACACAACGATCTTTATTTCATCCAAACTGCAGCAGAGGTTTCACTCATGGTGTAGATTTTAGGAATTCCATTTTTCACATAACTCGTCGTACAAACACGGACCAGTAGGATGTATATTCCAAATACAAAAGCGGCATCGCTCGTCATCTCTGCTCTGTTTATATATATCGAAATAGTGAAATGCACCAGGCCATTGAAAGCTACAGAAGAATAGCGTGCGGCCAAAAGGATTGGGTTGGAATGAAAATCCCCACGTAGAACCAGCGGGGATCTGATGAAAGCCGACATCATTGTCTTTAGATTTACAATGAACAGAAAGCAGCGGTGCTCCGGGTAAACTATTGGTGATATTGACTTCAATATCTTTCAGAAAAATTGCAGAGCTGGTTTGTAGGAAGGCAAGAATCATTACGACTACCACGAAAAGTTTGGTTGACGAGTCCATATTCGTAACCATGGTGTTTTTGTTTTGGAATATGAATGCAGTGAAGCTCTGTGGAGCGACCTATTTAATGAGGATTAAGATGCTCCATTTGGTAAGACAGAAGATACAAACATGTGTGAGGGCTGAGGATGACAAATATAAAGCACAGATACAAATTTAGTGTGGGAAGATATAGGAATTTATTTATTACATTATCTATAATTGTAATGATTTTTCTTGACATATATATTTGTATCAATATACACTTAAAGTCTCACTAATATATGGAAAGAAGCTTTTTAATTGGCAATTTCATATTAAGAATCTTGCTGTGATGCTAGCTGTACCTATCGCCTTGCTGTGGAAAATTCATTTAGAATTCCAACTATACATTCATTTTTGGTAATTTGAATGTGGGATCGGTCTACAAATGTTGGAGAAGGAAGAAGCGTGGATTTATAGGGGCGTGAGATAAAAACTATTGTTGGAGATGGGATTTACAAATTGATTTAATTACTTGGATTATTCAAAGACCAGAGATGATTTGGTTTTGTAATAACGTTTTGTTGTGCAGAGGTTGCAACTTTTTTGAATTTTATGGCATTTTTTTTTATATTTTCTTACTTGTGGAGAAATTAAAAACTTTTCAAGTTTAGAGTTGAAATAATTAGTAGTTTTAATATCTCGGTTGTATCTATATTTTTTACCGTAACTTGAGTTAAACTTAATTCCACAACATTACAAAAAAACAATTCTAAATCGGTTATAGTTTACCAAGAAATTATACCTAAGGTGGTAATCTTTGTGTAATTGTTGAGTATCCTTTATTGTTAAGCCAGTAAGACTAATTAATCCGTATACAAAAAAGAAAGAAAGAAAATATAAATTAGGAAATATTATCTTATTTTATTCCTTGATATCAAGTAAGTTAGGTAGGCAAATTATCTTAACCATAACCAAATGTCGAATAATTAGAACCCTTTGCAGCACAAGTTGCACTTGTGTTGCGTAGATTTTATGAGTTTCTATTTTCTTAGAATGTGTCGTATAAACACGGATCAATAGGTATTATATTCCAATCACAATAGCAGCATTGGTTAACATATCTTTTCGCGACATAAATATCGAAAATAGTGAAATGCCCCAGGTCATCGAAAGCTGCAGAAGAATTGCGTGTGGTCGAAAACATTAGGTCTGAATGAAAATCCCCACATAGAACCGGCAGGGATCTGATGCAAGCCGAGATTGTCTTCTTTAGATTACAATGGACAGCAAGCAAGGGTGGTGCTCCTGGTAAATTATTGATGATTTTGACTTCACAATCTCTCGTAAAATCTAAGGAGCTGGTACTACGAAAAGTTTGATTGACGAGTCCCATATTCGTAACCTTTCTGTTTTCGTTTTGGATTATGAATGTAGTGGAGCATGGCGGAGCACATTTAATGAGGATTAAGATGCTTCATTGGTAAAGACTGAAGAAAGAAACCCGTAAGGACTGAGAATTGGATACCTATTCAAGCACTGGGATGACAAATATGAGGGCCACATACAAATTTTAGTAAAATGTAGCAACTTATTTATTAGGATAATGTATCTATACAAATTTTATTATCATACTATTATATTTGTATCCGTATCTGTATCTATATTCTTTTTTTTTTTTTGAATCGAATAAACCTCATTTCATTTCAAATAGCTAAAGTAGGATAACAATCCAACGGGGCTTCTGAACAAAGAACATCCAACAAAAGTTGGGGAGGGCTAGAGGTCCAGTTTAGAGGGAGGGACTGACGGAGTTGGGCTTTGGCGACCCAATCCGCAGCTTTATTTTGCCCTCTGAAACAGTGAGTTAAACTTAAATTTGGCAAAGAAGAGAGTGCGGCCTGGCCTTTCTTGATAAGTACAGTGACTTCCCACGGTTCTTGATCTGCTCCCAGAAGTGTCTGAACTAAAGTGAGACAGTCAGACTCCACAGTTAACACACGTGTGCCCTTTTCCTTCTCCCCACTCGGAGGCGAACTTCAAACCCTCAATTACTGCTAGGGTTTCAGCATGCAGTGCTGATTGCGCCCTTCACCTCTCGGGCGAACCCACCCATCAACACTCCGGAGGCGTCTCTCCACACTCCGGCGATCGCTCCAGTAGAAGTTCCGGCAACGAAAGCACCATCAACGTTGATTTTAAGCAAACCCAAAGCCGGCGGAATCCATTTGAAGGTTGAGTTTTGATCTTCTGCTGAGTTAACCTTCTGATTCGAGCACCAAGATTTAAAAATTTTCATGCTTTACAAGTGTTTCGGACACAACTCCCCGTGGATCTGGCATTTTAGCTCGGAAAATGGCTGCGTTCCTCTCTTTCCAAATGAACCAGAGCACTTCAGCCATTACCTCAAGGTTAGGTGTATCGGGCAAGTCACTCTTGTAGTTTAGAAGCCATCGATCTATACTGGTGAGACCTTCTCTCTGTATCCGTATGCGTAGATTTTAGTCTGACCATACTTCAGTTGTCCAGGGACAGAGTAGGAACAAGTGTTCTGCTGTTTCTGGGCTCGTTCTGCACAAAGAGCACATCGGGTCAGGTAAAGCTCTTCGTTTGAATAAATTTTCCTTCGTAGGGAGTGCATTTTGGCATAGATTCCCCATGAAAATTCTGATTTTGGGTAGGGTCTGCAAATTCCACACTTTGCACCACAAAGTTCTAGGCTTTTGGTAAGAGGACGATGCTTGTTTATGAGTTAAGTCCTTGTCCCCTTTCCTGAGCAAATTATACCCACTTTTGACTGAATAGGTTCCGGACTTTGCTGCTGTCCATACTATTCTGTCTTCCTCTCCGGTGGATGGGATGGGGATCGCCAGTATTTCATTAGCGATTCTATCTTCAAACATGTTTTGGATTGTTTCTTCCTTCCATGAGTAGTTGTGTTTGTCTATCAACTCGGTAACAAGGTGAGGATCCTCTCGATTAGTAGGTCCTGTAATTATGCCCTGCTTCAACCATTTATCTTCGCGGATTCTAATTGATTCTCCATTGCCTACTGACCATTGAACTGAGTCTGATATTACATTCCTTCCAATTAGTAAACTCTGCCATCCCCACGATGCTCGGTGCCCCTTCCTTGCATGCCAGAAGTCTGTGTTAGGAAAATAGAGTCCTTTAAAAAGCTGAATCCACAGCGTAGATCATTTTTCTATCATTCTCCACGCTTGCTTACCCAACATTGACCTATTGAAAGTCATAAGGTCTTTGAACCCCATTCCTCCACTATCTTTCCTCGTTTTCAGTACTTTCCAGCTTTTCCAATGTATTCCAGCTTTCGAGTCATTGTTCTTCCACCAAAAGGAAGCAATCATTTGCTCAATAGCTTTACAAATGGATATTGGGATTTTGAAAATCGACATCGCATATTGCGGTAGAGCTTGGACTACCGCTTTCAAGAGAACTTCCTCCCCAGCTTTATGTATCTATATTCAAGCATTAGCAAAATGTAGTAATTTATTTTCTTGACATCTATATTTGTATCTATATCTACGTAAATTCAAATTAATACATGGAAAGAAGCTTTTTAATTGGCAGTTTCATTTTAAAGAATCTTGCTGCGATGCTATAATGATTGCTTGCTATGGAAAATTCATGTAGAACTCCAACTATACATTCATTTTTGGTAATTTAAATGTAGGATGATACAAATGTTGGAGAAGGAAGAAGCGTGGATTTATAGGGGCGTGAGATTAATGAACTATTGTTAGAGATGGGGTTTACAATTTGATTTAATTACTTGGATTATTCAAAGACCAGAGATGATATGGTTTTGTAATAACATTTTGTTGTGCGTAGCTTACAACTTTTTATAATTCTATGGCATTTCTAATCTTTTTTACTTATGGAGAAAGCAGAGAGATTGCCATTTTAGAGTTTAAAGAGATAGTTGAAGTAGTTTTAATATCTCGGTTATGTCTATATTTCCTACCATATCTTAAGTTAAAACTTAATTCCACAACATTACAAAGAACAATTCAAAATTGGTTGTAGTTTACTAAGAAATCATACCTAAGGTGGTAATGTATGTGTAATCATGGAGTATCCTTTATTTTTTAGTCAGCAAGACTAATTCGTATACGAAAAAGAAAGAAAGAGAATACAAACAAAGTTTTTTTTTCTTAATTTATTCCTTGATATCTAGTAAGTTAGGAATGCAAAGTACATATAAGTGGGACATAGGTCAAAGAGAATTTTATTAGAGGGAGAAGCCCAATCGATGAAAGGGAGTTGTTAGAGGATGAATCCCGCTGGCATGACCACTCCGTCCCGACGGAGCAATTGTGGCCACCGGTTTTTCAAGTCAAATACCAGAAACCAAGCAAACAGGTTACTCTTTGTTTTCATACATTTTTTAATCTATTGGTTTTCTTCTCATCCCTCTCTGCTAATTCACGTACCAAAAAGTAATTATGACCATTGAACCACATCTTTATCTAATAGTTCAATTAATACATATACTTTCGTGATAAGAATCTGCGAAAAATAAAATCTAGAAACTTATTAAAAATGGTCTTATTTAAAACGCTGCAAAATTCGACCAAAAATAAAAATACTTCAATGCACTATTGGTGTAGTTTTTTCTTCACATAAACGATTTTGAAATTATGACACCTAACTATTTTTTTGTGTAAATAACTAGTCCTACGTAATCTAAAGATTACTTTGTAAAATGAAAAATAAAGGAATTGTTACTTTCATAAAAGGACAAATAGATTGTATCAATGATCACTAGGGCTCTTTTGAGGTTGATGGTGCTCACCATTTCGTCGTGATTTCAAATTCATTCGAGGAAGGTGGAGAGGGATGGAACTTAAATAGCATGTGGTAATTGTGTTCACGGCAAATTTGGGATCTTTCAATGGAAAAGAGAGGGAAGATAAAGGGGAACTTGTGAGAAAAATGGGCATAAATTATGGGAAGTTGAGAACCTGGTCAACATTGCCTGGGTTGAACCAACTTCAGAAGCATAAGAAAGTCCTCGCTTCCTCCACCATCGGCGGTAGACGGTAGCTTCGAACTCCGTCATGGTTGACAATGGAGTGAAAGTGTGACCTGGTATTGGCGTCGTCTTCTTCTTCTCATGCAGTCCTTGCTTGGATACTGCATATACAAGTAACTACTGTGAGTCTTATGAAATAGATTCTATAAATATAAATCCAAAAAATTATGTGTGGAATAAGAAAAGAAAAGCCTTTCAAGATCTGAACTTAATTATATTTCGTTTATTCAGCCTCTAGCTGCAAGATAGATAAGAAACTAATTTACTAATTACCATGTTACTTTATTAACTAGTGATGTTTATCTAACCTTCGATTTTAGAAAACTGACCTTTAGCTTTTTCACACATGATATTAAAATATCCTAAAAAATATAAAACAATAATATTTAGAATTGTGATTTTCTTTTTGCATAAATAGACTTCTATAACTTATCTATTTGAGAGGATGGCAAACTATTTCTACATCTCATTGGCCAAAGTCCATGTTGATCATACCGCAGCAAGCTAATCACTCATGATGAAAAGAAGTGCATATGAACAAATTTGATTTGAACTATTTTTTCCTTTTACATATTCTTTTATAATTAATTGAAAAAGTACTATTATTTTGTGTTTCTCATTATAAAGAATGAATAAGCTACGAAGGACTTGATAACTCCTTCGATGCTTGACAAATATTCGGTTAGTGTGATCAATTGCACATATTCTTGGTATGTGTTAGGTAGCGCTTTGTCACCTATACTATCTCGTACGGTCGATTTTTGAAGCTGGTGTCCACTACCGAAATGTTCAATGTAAATCCGGTAATCTATTACTCAATGATAGAGTGAACGGTTTCTTTTCTAAGTTTGCATATCATTTGTAATTGCCACTTCCTCCACTTCAGAAGATTACCGGCCATTCCCGCCTATGGATAACCACCTAACTTCTCGTGAACAGTTTTTTCTCGAATGCTTGTCTTTTATAACGCCCACTTCTTTCAGTTTTCCATTGAACAATCCAGTTCACTATATGGATAACCACCCAATTTTTCACACACGTTGGCATGTGCCAAAATACTAATTAAATTGAGACAAACTTTAAATTAATGTAACACATTCACACATTCTTTTGCTTTTATGCTAAGAAACCTTGGACCATTTTGGACGTAGTGGACCTGGATTAGGGGGTGATTGGTTTCTCAGTAGATTGGTTATGAGCCTAGAACTACTAGTAATCAACCAGGTGACTCCCATTTCCAATAAGTTGGTCGGTTTTGAAATTGGTCGCTTGTTGGGGGAGAGAGGCTTGCTTTGCTTTGCATTTGTTTTTTGTGTTCTCTTTCTTCTTCTTTTTTGTCAACTCTTTTTCTCCCTTTTTTATTTGCTACTACTTTTTCTTTCTTCTTCTCCAAATCTCTCTCTTCATAAATAAAAAAAAGAAATTATGTGATCGATTTTTATTACAACGCAAGTGAAGGCACAAAAGGACATCTTCACGCATCGACACCGTGAAAAAACATAGACAACGATCTTTATTTCATTAGAACCCTTCGAAGCACAAGTTTCACTCTTAGCGTAGATTTTACGAGTTCCATTTTTCACAGATGTTGTATAAACACGGACCAGTTGTTACTATAGTCCAATTACAAAAGTGGCATCGGTTTTCATCTCTCTTCTGGTCATATACATCGAAATAGTGAAATTCACCAGGCCATTGAAAGCTACAGAAGAATAGCGTGGTGTCAAAAAAACTGGGTTTGAATGAAAATTTCCACATAGAATCCGCAGGGATCTCATGAAAGCCAAGATCATTGTCTCCAGATTTACAATGAACAGTAAGCGGCGGTGCTCCTGGTAATTTATTGATGATTTGGACGTCAACTTTTTTCAGAAATTCTCCGGAGCTGGCTTGTAGGAAGGCAAGAATCATTACGGATACTACGAAAAGTTCGATTGCCAAGTCCATATTCATAACCTTCATGTTTTTGTGTTGAAATATGAATGCAGTGGAGCACAATGGAGCGACCTATTTAATGAGGATTAAGATGCTACATTTGGTAAGACAGAAGAAGGAAACATATGTGAGGACTGAGGACTGTATACCTATTCAAGCATTAGGATGACAAATATGAAGGCAACATACATATTTAGTAACTTATTTATTAAAATATCTATATTTGTATCTGTATCTATATTCAAGCATTAGGAAAATGTAGTAACTTTGTATTAAAATTTTTATATTTGGAATTTTTTTTCTTGACATCTATATTTGTACCTATATCTACGTACTTTCAATTTATTATATGGAAAGAAGCTTTTTAATTGGCATTTTCATTTTAAAGAATCTTGCTGTGATGCTATACCGATTGCTTCCTATGGAAAATTCATGTAGAACTCCAACTATACATTCATTTTTGGTAATTTGAATGTGGGATGTGTCTACATTAATGAACTATTGTTGGAGATGGGATTTACAAATTGATTTAATTACTTGGATTATTCAAAGACCAGAGATGATGTGGTTTTGTAATAACATTTTGTTGTGCATAGGTTACAACTTTTTAGGGAAAATTTCAAATAAGGACCCAAAGTGATAATAAGGCCCTGAAGTGAACCATGTGTCAAATAAAGACCTGAAGTGCCCTCATTTTCTCAATAAGGGCCCGAAGTGAACCTTGTCTCAAATAAGAGTCTGAAATAACCATATCAATCTAAAAAAAAGGACATTTTCGTCTTTTAATTTTTTTTTTATTTTTTTTCCTTTTCAGTTTTTTTCCATAAAAAACAAACTCAAAAATGAAAAAAAAAGCTAAAGTTAAAAAAAAAAAAAAAACAAGGGGGAGCCCAACCCCCGCCTGTGGCCGTTGCCCCATCGCCGGTGGGGCGGCGGCGGCGATGGCCAACGGGGCCGCTGGCGCCTCAGTGAGGGTCGGCAACCCTCGCCAGAGCCGGGAGAGGGCGGCGACCCTCTCCCAAATGTGGGCGAGGGTTGCTGAACCACGCCTCGATCTAGGCGAGGGTTGCTGGCCCTCGCCCAGGTCTGGGAGAGGGTCGCCTCCCTCTCCCGGCTCTGGCAAGGGCCATCAGGCCCTTACTGAGGCACTGGCAACCCCACCGGCGATGGGGCGGCGACCACAGGCAGGGAGGGTTGGCTGCCAGCCCTGTCCCCTGTTTTTCTTTTTTTAACTTTTTTTAAATTTTAAATCTAATTTAACTAAAATTTATGTTAAAATTATTTTTGGATGAAAATGCCCTTGGCCGGCCGAAGAGCCGGCGGGGTGAGGCCTCTATGAAACTGTTATAGCCACTTCAGGTCCTTATTTGATAACATAAGTCCACTTCAGGCCCTATTTGAGAAAATGAGAGCACTTTGGGTCCTTATTTAGAATTTTCCCCAACTTTTTATAATTATATGGCATTTCTAATTTTCTTTTAATTATGGAGAAAATAAAGAGATTGCCTTTTTAGAGTTGAAAGAGATAGATTAAGTAGTTTTAATATGTTGGTTATATCTATATTTCCTACCATATCTTAAGTTACACATAATTCTTCAACATTACAAAGAACAATTCAAAATTGGTTGTAGTTTACTAAGAAATAACACCTAAGGTGGTAATCTGTGTGTAATCATGGAGTACCCTTTATTTTTTAGTAAGCAAGACTGATTCGTATAAGAAGAAAGAAAGAAAGAAAATACAAATTAGGAAAGATCAAAAGAAGTAAAGGTTTTTTTTCTTATTTTATTCCTTGATATCTAGTAAGTTCGGAAGGCAAAGTACAGATAAATAGGACATAGGTCAAAGCGAAATTATTAGAGGGAGAAGCCCAATCGATGAAAGGGAGTTGTTAGAGGATGAATCCTGTTAGCATGACCACTCCCGTCATGACAGAGCAATTGTGGCCACCGATAGTTAAAAACTAGAAACCAAGCAAATAGGTTACTCTTTGTTTACATGCATTGTTTACTTTACAAAATTTCTTCTCATCCCTCTCTGCTAATTCACCCCCCAAAAAGTAATGATGACCATTGAATCGCATCTTTATCCAATTGTTCAATTAATACATATACTTTCAAGATAAGAATGTGCGAAAAATAAAAATACAAACTTATCAAAAATGGACTTATTCAAAAAGCTTCAATGCGCTATCGGTGTAGTTTTTTCTTCACATAAGCAATTTTGAAATTACGACACCTAACTATTATTTTGTGTTAATAACTAGTCCTGCATAATCTAAAGACTACTTTGTAAAATTAAAAAAAAGGAATCATTACTTTCATAAAAGGAAAAATAGATTGTATCGACGATCGCCGGGGCTTTTTCGAGGTCAATGGTGCTCACCATTTTGTTGTGATTTTGAATTCATTCGAGGAAGACGGAGAGGGATGGAACTTAAATAGAATGTGGTGATTGTGTTCATGTCAAATTTGGGATCTTTCAATGGAAAAATGAGGGAAGATTAAAGGCAACGTGTGAGAAAAATGGGCATAAATTATGGGAAGTTGAGAACTTGGTCAGCAATGCCAGGGTTGAACCAACTTCAGAAGCATAAGGAAGTCCTCGCTTCCTCCACCGTCGGCGGAAGACAGTAGCTTCGAGCTCCGTCATGGTCGACAATGGAGTAAAAGTGTGACTTGGCATTACTGTCGTCTTCTTCTTTTTACGCAGTCCTTGCTTGGATACTGCATGTATAAGTAAAAATATGAGTCTTATGAAATAGATTCTATAAATATAAATCCAGCAAAATATGTGTGGAATAAGAAAGAAAAGCCTTTCAAGATCTGATCTTAATTATACTTCGTTTATTCAGCCTCTCTTTGCAAGATAGATAAGAAACTAATTTACTAATTACCATGTTACTTTATAAGCTAGTAATGTTTTGTTTGACCTTCGATTTTTTAAAACTGAACCTATAGCTTTTTCACGCATGGTATAAAAATATCTTAAAAAATATAAAATAACAATATTTAGAATGGTAATTGTCTTCGTGCATAAATAGACATAGACATCTATAACTTATCTATTTGTGAGGATGGCAAACTATTTCTACATCTCATTGGCCAAAGTCCATGTTGATCGGTCAGGTCATACCGCAGAGAGCTAATCACTTATGATGAAAAGAAATGCATATGAACAAATTAGATTTGAACTATTTTTCCTTCTCTTTTCCTTCTACATATTCACCATAATAAATAAAAAAAGTATTGTTATTTTTGTGTTTCTCATTATAAAGAAAGAATAAGCTACGAAGGACTTGACAACTCCTTCAATGCTTGACAACTATTCGGTTAGCGTGATCAATTGCACATATTCTTTGTATGTGTTAGGTAGCGCCTTGTCACCTAAACTACCTCGTCCAGTCAATTTTTGAAGCTGGTGTCCACCACCGAAATGGTCAATGTAAACTCGGTAATCTATTACTCGATGATAGAGTGAACAGTTTCTTTTCAGAATCTGCATATCAATTGTAATTAGACACTTCCTGTCACGCCCCGAACCCCAACGGGCTCGCGACACCCCTTCCACGGTCGTATTGAACGCGACGTCCCAGGACGCGTCGCCGACCCAAACGAAACACCCAACAATAAAGGCAAACGGAAGCGAAATTAATTAACCCAGACAATAAACAATAACAAAGGGATAGCACGCAACAGTAATTGCATACATCATAAAGCAGTCACTATTACAAAACAATAACCCAGTCTACCAAATTTAAAGCCACAATTTTCAAAAGGGGGCGGTGGTTGACAAACTTATCTCCTCTACAAAAGGTACTCAAAAGACAGGGTAAATTATTTATCTTTCAATCCCTGTGGAGCTCTGGCGGCATCTCCGAATCGATCACGATCGCGGATCTGAAATGGTTATATAATAACCGTGAGAACGAGTCTCAATAAGCAACCCCCTATACCCCACGTAGGCCAATGCGTACCCAGACAAGTCTAACATGCGAATAGCCAAACAACACAATCAATTTCACACGACAAGCTTACCTCGCCTCGAACCACGTGCCAACCCTGCATATTAGTCCAAACATGATAACGCAACAATAGTTCACCACCATATCACAATCACTCGGCACACACTCCCACTCGCAATCCGCCAAACCAATCAGTCACATCGCACACACGTGTCCAACCAACTTTCCTCTCACGGACCACCGTCAACACGTCTCAAGTCCGGTCTCACAGGCACACAAGCCACACAATTCGATCAATTCCAATGGCCGCCGTCAACACGTCCCAAGCCATACCATTCAAACAAATCCAGTGGCCGCCGTCAACACGTCCCAAGCCACACTATTCAATCAATTTCCAGTGGCCGCCGTCAACACGTCCCAAGCCACATTATTCAATCAATTTCCAGTGGCCGCCGTCAACACGTCCCAAGCCATATTATTCAATCAATTTCCAATGACCGACGTAAACACGTCCCGGTCCAACACACCTTTAACGGGCCACCGTCAACACGTCTCAAGCCCGAATCCATTTGGCACATCGACCATTCATGCCTTCACACGGACCGCCGTCAACACGTCCCAAGTCCGTAGCCCTCCGATCAATCCGGGCTTAAAATCGACAGGCATGCACACGCCATTCAATTCAATCAATTTCACGCCAATTGCATCAAAGGATCCATATTCACAATTCGCCACGTCAATCCACAAACCCGACGTTCAAGTCGGCCACGTATGATCACCCAAATCATGCACATTATTTTATCCAATCCAATTAGCACAATTATATCATAATATAATTTAATTAAAATACGCCATAGCCGTTCTAAACCCGAGACAAGCCTATAAAATACCCAAAGTACTAGGTAGGGTTTAGGAAGTCACTTACTTCAATTTGGCTCGGGAAAAACCCGCACGGGCTCAAAAACGGGCCGGATGAACAGTAATGGGCCCGGATGAACAGTACTCGAAATGAACAGTAATGGGCCCGGATGAACAGTACTCGGAATGAACAGTGACCCCCCCTCGGCTGAACCGTACGAGCAAGGGCGCGGGCTCGGCCACGGCCCGGGGCACGCTCGGGCTGGCTGGGCAGGGTCGCCGGGGCTAGGTGGTGGTAGACGGGGCAGCGACGGCGGCCGGTACGGCGACGCGCGGCGGCTGGTCGAGGCAGCGCCGAGGAGAGCCCAAAACAGGGAAGGCGTCGGGGAGGAAGAACAACAGAGGAAGAAAGGTGGTGGCGGCTAAGGGGGGAGCGGCAGATCGGCGGAAGTGGCTGGGGGGAAAGGCTGGGTGGCG